AATACTAATTATGAAACCAAGGTCCTGAAACTGGATCGGACAATGAATTATTACCTATGCAAATTGAGGATTTTTTACATCATTACCTCTTCAAGGAATGAGCCTCCACTTATAGTTAATAGTTAATTTCAATATCAGAGTAGGTGCGTGACAGTAATTAACCTCTACCACACTACGAAAAGAACACTTGAGCTGATATGTGTCTATTTCGCATCTACTGTACAAACTGCAGAAGCTTTTTTAAACACCTGTGTGCCAATCAATGTATGTCAATAGTGAAGCAACCAACAACATGTGGTTTTTCCAAAGAAAATGGAAGTGAAGTGCAAATCAGACAGCAACATTCAGATAATAGCATTTAACTATTCATTTGTTCATACAGTCGGTGTGAAATTTAATCAATGTCAAGTGCCACAGCCTCACTATATAGTTCACGTAGAAAAGACCAATATCTTTGGACTCTTCTTTGGAATCTCACCAGTGAAGGAAACATACACTGCCTAAGAAACATCTGTAGATACAGATTTGGGTCATACTTCATGAGGAACTGAACTAAAGCTTCAATATTGCAGCTTGACCAGAGACAAATAGGTAAAAGCTGTTTCTGTGAACATAAGCAACAATGAATTCAAACTTCCGAAATTACCAGAGCTTTTTCCTTCAAAGGACAAAACGGGATTATGGGGTTATATTGTTCCAAGTTTTCACTGCAAAAAAAAACAGAAGAAAGAACTCCTGAAACCCAAGATATAAATACATGCTGCTTTCTGAATCAATCCATTTTTGAGGTTGTTTTAAATTCATTCATGGGACATGGAAGCCACTGGCTGGATCAACTTATCATTATTGTGTGGAAAAGGTACCGGTTCTGTTTTTTGTATTCATTCATGGGATATTGTTGTCACTGGCTGGACCATCATTTATTGCATATCCCTAGTTGTCCTGGAGCAAGCGGTGGTGAACTGCCTTCATGAATCACTGCAGTCCTTTTGGTATATTAGACCCACAATGCCTTTGGGGAGGAATTTCCAGAAATTTGACCCAACAACACAGGAGGAACAACAATATATTTCTGGATATTGAATAACTTAGAGGAAAGCTTGCAGGTTATGGTGCTCCCATAAATCTGCTCTCTTGTCCTTCTAGAAGGAAGAGTTCATTTGCTTGGAAAGTGCTATATATAAGAAGCCTTGGTGAATTTCTGAAGTGCATCTTGTAGACAGTACACACTGCTATTACTGTGCATTGGCAGTGGAAAGACGGGATGTTTGTGGATGTGATGCCAATCAAGGTGGTTGCTTTGTCCAGGATGGTATCAAGCTTCTTGAGTGTTACTGGAGCTGCACTCAACCAGGCAAGTGGAGAATATTCCATCATAGTCCTGACTTGTGTCTCAGGCTTTGGGGAGTCTGGAGGTGAGTTACTCGCTGCAAGATTCCTAGCTTCTGACCTGCTTTTGTAGCCACAGTACTTATATGATTAATCCAGTTGAGTTTGTGGTCAATGGTAACCCCCAGGATGTTGATAGTGTAGGATTCAGTGAAGGCGATGTCATTGAATTTGACTGATGGTTAGATTGCCTCTTGTTGGAGATGGTCACTACTTGGCATTTCTATGTAGCAAATGTTACTTGACATTTGTCATCCCAAACCTGGATATTGTCCAGGTCTTGCTGCATTTGAACACAGTCTTTTTCAGTACTTGAAAAGTTGTAGATGGTGCTAAACACTGTGTAATCATTAGCAAACATCCCCATCTGGCCATATGATGGAGGGTAGGTCATTGATAAAGCAGCTGAAAATAGTTGGGCCAAAGGCACCAACGGAGCTGAGGTGATTCCTTTGTGCCAGGTATGACTCCAACTAGCAGAGTGTTTTCCCCTTTTACAGTTTTGCTAGAGATCCTTGAAGCCACACTCAGTCAAATGATATGAAAGGCCGTCATTCTCACCTCGCCTCTGGAATTTCAGTTTTCTGCCTCCCTCCCTTCTTAAACATGAGTATTACATTAGCTATTTTCCAGTCTTTTGGGATCTCCCTGACTCCAGTAATTCCTGAAAGATCATCACCAATGTCTTCACAATCCCCCTAGCTATCTCTTTCAGAACTCTGAGTTGTAATCCATCTGGTCTGGGCGATTTATCTGCCTTTAACTTTCCAGTTTCCCCAGCACCTTTTCCTTAGTGATGGCCACTACACTGTTCTCCCTTCCCCCGCCACCAACTTTCTTGAAGTTAGAGTTATCTTTTAGCTCGGCAACCTAAAATAAACTACTATGGGAAAGGCTCACATTTTCTTAATTTTGTATCATAATAATATCAAATAATAATGGTTGAAACGAGTCCAATCATAATGGCCACTCTGTTGGTCCACCTGATTGTGAGAGAAAGTTCAGCATTCCTTTGAAGAGATTGGTACATGTGGAAGGCACAAATATCAGATTCAGGTCACAAGGCAATACTCTGGCTCTTTACTATTGTATTACAATGCACATTCATAAAGGTCAGCTGGAAACAATGCTCCTAAAAGTGTAAACGATATAGCTTGAACTCTGTTTCTTCCTCTCCCGCAGACCATGTACATTCAATCTCTCTACATCTATATCGCCCATGAGGAGGGCCTAAAAGCCTTCAGTTTCTTTCTCTCCCGTAGGTCCAACTAGTCCCCTTCCACTGACAGTCTTATCCGCTTCATGGAACTTGTCCTCACCCTCAACAATTTTTCCTTTAATTCCTTCCACTTCCTACAAACCAAAGGGGTGGCTATGGACACCCGCATGGGCCCAAGCTATGCCTGCCTCTTTGTAGGATACGTGGAACAGTCCCTCCTCTGCAGTTACACTGGCACCATCCCTCACCTCTTCCTCCACTACATCAATGACTTTATTGATGCTGCTTTGTGCTCCCATGAGGAGCTCGAACAGTTCATCACAACATGACAGCGCTTCATTGGAGGCTACACTGATGATGTTACCCAGCAGGGTAATCAAACGTCTGCAAACTAACGAACCAGCTTGGCCAGCAAACCAACCACAGCATCTCAGCTACAAATCTACTCAAGAACCTCTCTCCCCTTCCTGGACCTCTCCGTCTCTATCTTTGGCAACCGGCTCAGCACTGACGACTATTTCACTGACTCCCATAGCTACATTGACTCCACCTCCTCTCACCCACCCTCTTGCAAAAATGCGATCCCGTAACTCCCTATTCCTCTGCCTTCACCACAACTGCTCATGGCATGAAACATTCCACTCCCAGACATCCCAGATGTCCTCCTACTTGAAGGACCGTAATTTCCTCTCTCCCATAATTCATAATGCTCTCAGCCACATTTCCTGCATTTCCCATACTTCTGCCCTCAAAGAACAACAAGGGTAGAGTCCCCCGGTCCTCACATATCACCCCACCAACATCCGAATCCAACGCATCATCCTCCGCCATCTGCAATCAGACCCCACTACCAAAGAGATATTCCCATCCTCACCCCTGTCAGCTTTCCATAGGGCCTGCTCTCTTCATGACTCTCTTGTCAACTCCACACTCCCCATCAACCCCACCACATCTGGCACCTTTTCCTGCAATCGCAGGAAGTGCTGCACCTGCCCCTACACCTTCCCTCTTACCTCTGTCTAAGGCCCCAAACAATCTTTCCGCATCTGACAGGGATTCACCTGTATGCCTTCTAACCTGGTCTCCTACATCCATTGCTCCCGATGTAGTGTCCTCTACATTAGAGATACCAAACACAGACTTGGCGACAGACTGGCGGAGCATGCATGCTCTGTACGCTCCAATCAACACTACTTTCCAGTTGCCAGCCATTTCAATGCCCCTTCCCACTCCCTTGGTGACATGTCCATCCTGGTCCTCCTCCAATGTCACAATGAGGCCACAGGAAAACTGGAGGAACACCACCTTCTATTCCACCTCTTAAGTTTATAGCCCAATGGTCTTAACATAGAATTCACGAGCCTCAAAATCTCCCCACCCCCGGCCTCATCCCGTGTCCAGCCCTCCCTCTCATTCCTGCCTCCTTGACCTGACACTACCTGTCCATTTCCCTTCTCACCTATCCGCCCCACCCTTCCCACTGACCAATTCCCACTACCCCAACCTGCATCCATCACCTATCAACATCCCACCTACCTTCCCCCAGCTCCAGACCCCTCTATTTACTTCTGAGCTCCCTTCCTCAGTCCCGATGCGAAACGTCGATTCCTTGCTCCTGTGATGCTGCCTGACCTACTGTGTTCCTCCAGCTCCACACTGTATCAATTCTGACTTCCATCGTCTGCAGTTCTTGCTATCTCCCACTACAATGCTTCTACTATATTAGCTAAAGCATATTATAATAGGCCATTGTGGATAAAATGAATCTAGTCTCTGTTCTGTTCGCGGTGCAGTTTGGATTTCTGCCTACATTTCTGCAGGAAGGAAGATGAAAGGTAGAAAGTTATTCCCAGCTGTAACAACCTCAGTGTTACCTAGACTGTTGGCACCTACTGGGAAGCCTCACTTGATTGAGATGTAAGAGTTGCATTTCTTCGGCAGCGCCTTCAGACGAGGAAGGAGACAAATAAGCGAAATGCGTGTTCTGAGCGCATGCAATTCAGGGCCAATCTGAAAAGCATTAGCCGGAGTAACGTGCCGCCTATACCAATGTTTATTTTGGCCTATTTTCTGCTTTTTTTGAGAAATGAAAGTCCTATGTCCCCTTCAGTTTAAAAAAAAGTTAGTGACTTTTACTTTTGAGATTAAAATGTTTCCTAAATCGAATGACGTTTAATGTAACTGTTACAACAAATTTTGCCTTCCCACCCACTTCATTCTTTTCAAAGAATGGCTGTACGAGAAACGCATAGTCTCTCCATCAACACCCCCCATCTCTTTGTTGCTGTGGTCTGACGTTAAATCTTCACCGGAGCGAGCGGTCTGGTGTTGGCAAGTTCAATTCCTTTTTTGAGTTTAAACACTAATTCTGCATTTGTATTGTCACTTGCAGAATGATAGTGAGTATACAATACTTAAGAAGCAATCTTCAGAGATACATGGAGAAGCAGTTTCTGAAGTAAGTGCTTGTCAATGTTTCCTTCTGAATCTATCTTGTTTCACTGTTCCATTGCCCAGACTGCAAACGTTGCGGCTAATAATAAACTGTCTGGATTAAAAGGCTATGAATTCTGCGTAGTTAAAAAAAAAGCGGCAATTACACCTATTCAAATTGCACCAGTGTATTAGAATATGTTATCGAATCAGTTGTTCTTTGTAACTTTGTATGCACACAACCACAAATAAAATTCTGGGCTCATTGATTGCTTAATTTCTAATTTCTGTCTATATCTTATTTTGTCTGGGGCTGAGTGGCGTTTCCTTTGTTCAATTGCTGCGCATGACCTTCCCGAGTGCCATTTTAAAAAGGAAGCGTCAAATCTGTGTTCTAACCCACTTAAAAGAAAATTTACACTGAGAATCAACCTAATGCGATTATTTCTTTCAAAAAGTGAACGTTAATGTGGCGAAAATCTGGTTAACAGCATCAAATTACCCAGTCTTGTTGATTGAGCTCATCCAGATACCGTCGGCTCTTTGCTGCTTGCTGCAGAACACCAGAAACCACAAGCGCAAACCTGTTAGCTCTAGGAGGAGGGTAATTATTCACATTGTCCCATAGTAAACACGGTCTGAATCCTATATCTCAGTGGGACAATAATACAATCCTAAAAACATGGGCATTTCTCTGCTCTGAGTATAAGTCAATCATTCAACTATGTTTTCTATTTTATTCTCAAATATTAGACGTTGTAGAAGTGCAGTAATATAAATGCTCAAATGAAGTTTGTAAATGGAATAACAATGGGGGAATCCTCCTTAACGTATTCATCCTGCCTATGAGTCTGCACGAAAAATAATCTTATGGGTATGCTTCTGAGGAACGTGAAGTTAATGCAGTTTATTCATGTGAGCACGTTTACATATACGCTTTGTTAAAAGTCATGTATAATGTTCAGAGACCAGCTTGTCTGCCAGAAAATTCAGGGTGTCAGATCATTAGGGATTTGCCATGCAATGTTGCCATTTTGGGGCTTCACCCCAGCCAATGCTGTCAGTTTAGCAGACATACCTGAACATGCATTAGGCAGCTAGGGGCAACCATTGCCCCATAGCTGTTTCAGATTGAAATGAACGTAGAAGCTGTGTTCTCCAGACAGTGATGTGGTGGGCAATTCGAAACTTTCGTTATCGCAAAAGTCTAATGTAAGGACAGTCAGTCCGAGATATGGTGCGGTATTAAAGTCTTCCCCTACAGGTTACAGGATAATATGGAGAATGAACAGAGGTTATGCAGACCAGGATAAGATACTGGAGCGGGGAAGGAGACTTTTCGGAGTTGTCAACTCTCCTACCTCAACCTTAATAGGGAATAATGAGACACATCTGTGTTTCAGTAAACATGATGGACATGGATAAGATGAATAGTCAAGGTCTTTTTCCCAGGGCTGGGGGAGTCCAGAACTAAAGGACATAGGTTTAAGGTGAGAGGGGATTTAAAAGGGACCTGAGGGACAACCTTTTTCATGCAAAGCGTGGCATGTGTATAGAATGAGCTGCTAGAGGAAGTGGTGGAAGTGGGTACAGTTATGACAATTACGTGGATGAGTTAGACCAACAGGTCTGATTCTGTGCTTTATGACTCAGCGGTTAGCACTGCTGCCTCACAGCACCAGGGATCCGGGTTCAATTCCACCCTCGGGCAACTGTCTATGTGGAGTTTGCACATTCTCCCTGTGCCTGCGTGGGTTTGCTCCGGTTTCCTCCCACAGTCCAAAGAAATGCAGGCTAGGTGGATTGGCCATGCTAAATTGCCTGTAGTGTTCAGGAATGTGTAGCTTAGGTGGGTTATAGGGGGAAGGTCTGGGTGGGATGCTCCAAGGGTCGGTGTGGACTTGTTGGGCCGAAGGGCCTGTTTCCACACTATAGGGATTCTATGATAACTCTTTGACTGTTCCTACTGAAATCTGTTACAACTACAATTACAACTATAAATGCAACCTCAGAGTTGGGAAAGGACAGTATTGCTATTTGTCATGAAGATGACAATGCCTGTGAACTTTTGTGTGTCTGGCTCCTTCCAGGCTGGAGTTGGAGGTATTGACAATATGTCACAGATTGCTGTTGATTGTTGTCTTATGGACATTACTGAAGCTCTGTATTGAAAGAGAGCTAATTACGTTTCATCTCCCCCTGCCTGGATCAGGCAAGTGGACTCAACACTGGAGTTTGCGCATAGTGCAAGGCGTCATTGATTACACTCGGAGATAGTAGGAACTGCAGATGCTGGAGAATCTGAGACAACAAGGTGCAGGGCTGGATGAACACAGCAGGCCAAGCAGCATCATAGGAGCAGAGAGGCTGACGTTTCAGGCCTAGACCCTTCATCAGAAAAGGGGGAGGGGAAGGGGTTTTGAAATAAATAGGGAGAGAGTGGGAGTCCGACCAACCTCATCCCGCCCCCTTGACCTGTCCGTCCTCCCTGGACTGACCTATCCCCTTCCTAACTCCCTACCTACACTCACCTTTACTGGCTCCATCCCCGCCTCTTCGACCTGTTTGTTTCCTCTCCACCTATCCTCTCCTCTATCCCTCTTCTATCCGCCTCCCACTCTCTCCCTATTTATTTCAAAACCCCCTTCCCCTCCCCCTTTTCTGATGAAGGGTCTAGGCCCGAAACGTCAGCCTCTCTGCTCCTATGATATTGATTACACTCAGATTGTTGGGTCAGCGCTGGATGCCAATTCTGCTATGTAGGGAATCAAAAGATAAAATGTTCCTTCACTAATGAGTTGATGTCTGTTCAAATGCAGCATATAATGGAAGTTGATGCATGTTACCTTGGCAACAGACACATACCACATGCTGTTGAATCACCAACATAAATCACAGACTGGCCCAGGCTGTGGTTTGTAACCGCTTACATGCGGACAGTTTTCCATGCTAATACCGTGCTTCCTCAAGAAATGTGATCTGGAAGACGATTGGTCTGCCTAAACAGCTGTTCCACTGCTGGAACTGCCCTGGAGGAACCCTGCAGCACACAGCACTAGATAGCTGGTGGTCTACTGCAAGATGCCCTACTTTACCATCAACGTGAGGATGTAGCCCTTACCATGAGCTGTTATTGAGCAGCTGAAAAACAGGAGAATGAGGAAGAGGGGCAAGAGCACCTCGAATTCTTCAGTCTTCAACAGTACCACACGTCTTGCATTTGATCTATCACTGACCATCACCTTTTGTTCCTGTCCTCTTCTTTGACTGCTGGCTACTTGTGTCTCGTGTCACACCACGTGCAGATCATGTCTGTACACTGTCTTTCAAGAGTCATGCCACATCAGTGTTTGTGCTGGTAGCTGCGCGGGAAATCAAGTGATTGCATCTCTTTGTCATTCCTCTCTTCCAGTGCCTCCACTGTTTGATCAAGTTGCACCTTTTGGCTATCTGAAAGTTAAAAGACACAAAGGTAGAATCATGGTGTAAAGTGAGAGATTTAGCAAGAGGTGCATGCTTACAAAATCTACAGCATACAAATTGAGAAGTGATTGTGGCATGCATGGGAAGTGGGATGAGAAGAAGGAGATAGTGGGAAAGTATCATCATCTTCGATGGTTTCATTGACCACTGGCCATGATCATTGGTCATGATTCATTGACTACAGAATCAACAATGAATGCCAATATCACTTTGCCATGGGGTTAGGATGTTCAGATGTGCCTATCCCTTTCGGTTCCTTTTGTCCCTGCTACCTCTGGTTATTCAGCACCTCATTCTGCGATAGAGAAGGAGATTTATCAGTGAGTTTCATGTGATATATTTGGGTGATTTTGTCATGATTTAATAGCTGGCAGTGTTCAAGTTGGAAGATGTGAGTGTGATACGGCAGTGTAATGTGCTTAAGTGTGAAGTACTGTAAATGAAAGTTATGTGTGAATATTGCTTTTAAAGAAAAGAGTATTAATTCATGGATATTTATTGATGTGTTATAAATAATGGAATTGGGGAATATTATAGGCTAATGGTGCATTTGAAATTTCTAACATTAAAAATTTAATAAAAATAGAGATTAACAAATGCATTTTTCACAGTACTTCAGTAAAATTACAAATCTAACATTTTCATGTCTTCTAATATCATCATTAAATGTTTTACTTTAAGGCTTTAATCTTATTAAACCAGGAATATGCAGGAAAGAAAGTAACAGTATTTCACATTTATTTGTTTGACAAAGACTGAAAATTACATTATTTTTTCAATTTGTTGTACATAAAAAGAATGCTTGGAAGAATACAATCTGTAGGCAGTTATTTCCTGTCTTCCATTTTAAAACTTACTAAAGAAGGAGTAGTATTGATTTTAAATTGGTAGCTATTTTACAGATTGGAACAAATAAAGATAGAAATTTCTGTGTCTATTATTGCCATGTTGTTGATTCAAAACTGTGATGGGTCTGGGCAGGTAGAAACTCTTGCCATTGGCAGAGAGTCAAAAATCAAAGAATACAGACACAGACTTAAAGTGATTAACAAAAGAACTAAAAGGCAGACATTACACGCAGGAGGTAGTTATGGTCTTGAGGGTTTGTTTTGTCCAAAAGGGTGAAGGCAGTTTGAAAAGATTTGCAGGGCTACTGGGCAGTGAGATCAGCTACGTTGTTCTTGAAGACAGTTGGAATGGGCTGAATGATCTCAGTGGCCTCTTCCTGTTTTCTAATTATTTTATGATTGTGCATTGCAAAATAGAATGTAAGAACATTCTGTCCCTAGAAGGGCATGAGCGGCCAATGCATGGGAACACCTCCAAACCACACGCCATCCTGCCTTGCAATTGTATCTCTGTTCCCTTACTGTCACTGTGTCGAAATCTTAGAACTTCCTTCTTAACAGCAATATGGGTGTAACAGTACCAAATGGACTGCCACCATCTTTCAAGGGAAATTAGGATGGCCACAAATTTTGGCAGAACGAGTGTTTCCTCACATCCTGTGAGTGAATTCAAAACTTATGTAACTAAACTAAC